TCATTCTAGAATGACTACAAATTATAACATGAAAAAACACAAATGTTTATTTTAAATAGCTTAAATCTCATAACATTATTCATCTGTATATATTTATTATTTTTATTATATTGATTTTCCAGTTGTGCCTGGTTAACAATACAGAAGTTACAATGAATCGGTGCACATGCACTCATGTTACCATATCCAATAATATAAAACTGACCTTTAGTCTTTACAAAGTGACCTATATTGGCTATGTTTTAGCAGATTAGTATTTTGTAAAATACAGTTGCACTTCAATTATTATACATTATATATGTATATAGATTATTACTATTTACAAACAAGTTCTTAAACTTATTTTTCTTAAAACATATAACAGTAAATGAAAAAGTAAAGCAAACAATTATCTATATAGATACCATAAAATTCCATTATAATTTATCAAGATTAGTAATTAAGCTGTATTTGGGTTTAAAATATACCAGCATGAAGATTAGTATGGAAAGAACAAGATTATGTCATAATACTTGAAAATTGCTGAGAAAGCCACTAGGGGGACATCCTGAGCTTTCGATTGGTTATTCATATGTCATAGACAGAAGTAAGTGTATATAAGGGAGTGTTTCCAAAAATGGGAAGAGGTGAGCAGGGCCACTGTGTTGATTCAGTACATGAGTGATATCTCAGCAAGTAGAAAAGACAGGCGGTTCTTATTTTATATTCTAGCTTGTTAATATTGGTAATTTGAGTTCCTAATTTGTACAAAACTATAGACTTTGTATTTTGACATCACACACATCTAATTTGAACCAGTGCTACATTCATCATACCAGTGACAAACAAAAATCGATGTTTAAGTTTTTAATATTTTCTTTCTTTTAAATTAAGAAATTGAATAATGTATAATACTAAAATTTGAATTATAATCTCTAATTTCATACCAAACTTGTTAACATAAATTCATAAAATAGTAATTTAATAAAATTTTGAATGCAAGTCAACAAAGATGATGACATGGCCTTTAACCCATGACCCTTAGTGATAGGGTTAAGGTTATAACTAAAGTTAGCTTTAAAAATGTATCTATTTACAGAAAAGATTATCTCAACATAACATTTTTTCAATGGCACCTGATGGAGCTAATGTGTGATTTTAATAGTATGTAAAGTCTGTTTAGATCAATAACATAGAGAAAACACATTTTTTGTTAAGGGCTTTGAAGTTTTATAGTTCTCAGCCTAGACCTTACAAGTGATTTTTAATCTTGTGACTTCAGCCAAGTTAAAGGGATGGATTAACACTATATAGAACCAAAATATTAGCCAAATCTGCAGTATTTCTACTGCTGTTCCATTATTTTTCAGCTTTTGAACATATCTTTGTACTGTTACTTGATGTCGAAAACTTCATATCTGTTTAGATTAACCCTGTCACTATGGGCATGCCATCACGTTTGTAGACTTACATTTAAAATTTTATTGAACTACTATTTTATGAATGTATGTCAGTAAGTTTGGTATCAAACTGTAGATTATTAATCAAATTTTAGTATTATACATTAGTTAATTTCTTAATTAAAAGTAAATATTAAAACAAAATTCCTAAATATAGATTTTTGTATGTCACATGGTACATTGAATGCAGCTTTAGTCAAATTAGATGTTTGTGATATCCAAATACAAAGTCTGTAGTATCTTATGAATTAGAAACTCAAATGACTGATATTGACAAACTAGAATATAAAATAAGAACCTTTCTTTTCTGTTTACTGAGATATGGATATATTTAGTGAATCACACATACTGGCCCTACCCTCCTCTTCCATTTTTGGAAATACTTGCTTATGTACATCCGCTTTGCTCTATCCTGTGTTTATAACTAATCAAAAGCACAGAAGTTTCTTTACATGATTTTCTCAGCCTATTCAAGGTGTCTATTTCCCAAGATAAATTTTTTGTTCCCAATCTCAGAAGGAAGGGGGGAGGAGAAAATGATGTTTGAAAAACAATATTTTAGACTTAGTTAATAAGCCTGATAAGTTACAGTATACAGAAGCCTTGTTATGTTTAATGATAATCTGCCAAATTTCAGGAAGAAACAAATACTGTATTAAAAGTTATAGTATGAAATTGATAAGCACAAAATGGTCATTAGGTCGGTTCCTTGGACTGAGCCCATAATGAAAGGGTTAAGAAAAAATTAACATTAAAAAAATGATAAAATTATTGTTCTTCTCCTTGTTGAAGAGGCAAAACTTATTGTGAACAAAGGAGAACTGGTATGAAACAATTATATTGGTAGATATTAATTTAAATTGGAGTTTGAAAACTAGCACATGTATTAATCTTTTTTTATTGTTGTTATGGTGAATTTTCCTCAGTCACTGTGTTAAAACTGATGACTTAGGGACTAATGGCATGTGGAATATCTGATATGAGGAAATAGTTTATTGGTCGAAGATGCTTGAAAATGTGTGATAACTTCCTCTTTCAGCTGGGGTTCAAATTATACTTTTGTGGAATCTTATTTTTAATTAATTTTAAAACAGTAAACAAAAAAGTAATGATATGTGATCAAAACACTTTACATGTCCAAAAACATCCAAGCTACAATAAAAGGGGCCAAGTATTTTCTAATTTTTTCTTGTTTGAACTACTCAGTTTTACAGGATCTACAGTTTATTAACCTTGACCTAATGTTTTTTTTTAATGGACCCTGAAGTCTTTTATAGTGTAATAGCCTAGATATAACATCAGTTCTGATGGTTAGTAGTGTGTATGATCAAATACATATAATGATTAAATAATAAATTTTTTTATTGCTAGGTACTAATTAATAACTAGTTTTGTTTTACATTTCAGCTTCTAATCTGTGCCCCCCAGTGGCACAGTGGTATGTCTGCGGATTTACAACGCTAAAATCTGGGTTTTGATACCAGTGGTGGGCAGAGCACAGATAGCCCACTGTGTAGCTTTGTGCTTAATTACAAATAAATAAAATAAATTCTAATCTGCTGCTGAGAAGAACTGTTTTTGTGTTGATGGCGGCTGGGGTTTGATGATTGGGTCTTGATTCCACTTGAATGTTGTCTCCCCCATTAGAACTTGAATGAACCACAAGGATGTGAATGTTTTAGAAAAATTCCCATTTAAGGGACAAAATACTAGAAAAATTACCTTTCTTTCGTAGAAGTATACTTGCTTTTTCTCCATCCTACAAAATGCCCTAAAAAGTAGAATATAGCTTAAAATTTTACTTTTATTGAACACAATTAATACAAGCTCAATTTTCTTGGGAATGATGTATACATTTTTCAATTAAACTCTTCATGTAAAGATATATTTGTGTATGTATTTTATGGTTTGAACATCTAATCTGAAGGATTTTACAATGCAGAATGTAGCAGGAACTGGTAGAAATCATGGTTTATATTAATGCTGCTACGAACTAATAGATTAAACAGTTTAAAGCTTTATTATTATTTATTATCTTATATATTCTTTTTTAGAGCTGGCATTCAAACTTCTAGGTTCCTAATGTAGAAAAATGCAATGTTATAATGTTGTCGAATTAGATACATTTGTTATGTATGTGATTGAGGGTTTGTGAATTAATGGATAGGTATACTTATATATCTAGTTGTGTGACCGAGGGTTTGTGAATTAATGGATAGGTATACTATATATCAAGTTGTGTAACCCAACTAGATATATAAGTATACCTATCCATTAATTCACAAACCCTCGGTCACATAACTAGATATATAAGTATACCTATCCATTAATTCACAAACCCTCGGTCACAAGGGTTTGTGAATTAATGGATAGGTATACTTATATACCTAGTTATGTGACCGATGGTTTGTGAATTAATGGATAGGTATACTTATATATCTAGTTGTGTGTCTAAGGTTTAGAGGCATGAAGTATTAAATCATTGTTTATGTGTACGTGTGTGGTTCATTAGAAATCTTTCTGTAGTGTTTTTCAAAAGGGATGTCCAGGTTTTGCTGACTTCTGTTCTAGGTTCACTGAGTGTGTTATCAGTTAGCTCCTTTTATATTTCTCATGTATGGTATTTTTTGGCACTGAGCAATATGGATTCAATAACCTGTGAACTAATTATTTCAGTGTTTTCAAAAGGGATGTTCAGGTTTTGCTGACTTCCGTTCTAGGTTCACTGAGTGTGTTATCAGTTAGCTTCTTTTATATTTCTCATGTATGATTCGTATCCTGTTATTACACTTTATCATATGGTCTTCTTATTTAATTTTGGTGCTTATTTCCTTTATAATTATTGAGTGTTCAGAGTACCCTCTGTTAAGGAGGATTGTAGTGATGTGTTTTTTAACTTCTTTGGTATTATGAATCTTATATTTTCTGGTAATTAGCAGTCTGTGATGCTGTCTTTACACTCTTGAGATGGTTTGATTTACAGTCAAGCTATTTATCTGTATCTATGGGTTTCATGTAAATTTAATCATGTCAAGAAATTTGAATTTATCATTTTCAACTTATACTTCTGAATTTAAAGAGTATTGTACACATACAAGACTTGGTAATACCAGTCTATCTCCAATAACCCATCATGCCAAAGAAGAAAACTACAATGAATTGGAATAATACAAAAATAATAAGAAATGAACTGTAAATGAGAAAAAGAAACCTAAAATAAGCTTTCTACATTCATTTAATTGATAACACATTGTTAACCTAGCATAGAAGTCAGCAAAACCCTTGATTCTCTTCAAGAAAACATTCAAATACTTAAATAATTCAAGTTCTAATGGGAAAAGACCAGTGAAATGGTTAGTACACCAGAAATTCAAAGGAAGACCCAGGAACGAATATGGACCACTGCTGACACAGACATAGTATTTCCTAAAGACGGCAGCAAATTACAAAGGTCTCATAGATTAATTTATTCTAATCCTGTCTGAAAGAATCTCAATTTGAGGGTAGGCTGGTAGAGATCCCGATGAGCATTAAAATTTAATTGGGTATACGAGGGACCAATGCATGGTATTGCTGGTGCACAAAAATATGGCTAATAAAAAGAAAAAAAAAGGTCTCGTAGATTAATTTACTCTAATTCTGTCTAAAAAGAATTTCAATTGGTGCAGCAATTGAGGATGCCCTCTTGTTTTTAAGAACATCTGACATCATTATTTTCTCAGTTTAGACCTAATACATTATTTTTCATTGCATCTGAGATTTGTGCAGTTATCTAGATATGAACAGAGAGTTAAACAAGATTTTGACTATTGTTTGGAGTATGTTAATTTTTAAGTGAGCAGAAAGTTTGAATATGAATTTGACTATTGTGTGGATAGTTTTAAACAGTAATCTTTTTTGTTTTAGATATCCCAAAATTTGTTAAAATGTTTTAGTTAAATCTATTATGATAAAAGTCAAATCCAAAACATTAATGTTTATAAATCTCAGTAATTCTGGGGTTATTGTTAATATTCTTTGTACAATTAAAACTTGTTATGAAATGTATGAAAAAGTAACTCGTGCTATTTTTGTAAGAGTAGTGAATATTTTTGAATATGCATATACTGTGTACAGAGTATTTGTATTAAAGGGTGAAAGAACAAGATTGTTGTAATGATGTTACCTCAGATTTTTAATCATTTACTTTGATTTGGAATATTGGTTCAGTGTTTCACTTCTATTTCATATAGAAAATACACAAATAGTTGGCATGAGTGCAACTTTAGGGAACATGTCAGACCTTCAGCAGTTTCTTAATGCTGATATATACTGTGGAGACTTTAGGCCTGTGAGTATGGACAATTATTTCTTGACTTAAATCTCTCTACCATAGTTCAGTTGATGTTAGTTAGAACTGAAACACTACTAGAACTTTTTTCTAGAATTTGTGTTTTTATTGAGTTAAAAATTGTATTATTATATAAAAATGCATTCATATAACATGGAAGAAAAGGACAATGTGATGGCTTCAGTGCCAATTCTATACAAGTTGGACATGTAAGTTAACTTATTTTTTTCTAAGTTGAAATTAGAAATGAATAAATTTTTAAAACATATCTTTGTCATACTAAATGTGATAATACTTGGTCATCTTCACAATTTGGTACATACTAGTAAAACTCTACAGATTCATCATCTTGTGGGTGTGAGTGTTAAGAAGCATTTAGCTAAAGTCTGCTATAGATGTTTGATAAGTTGGCAAACAGTGGTTTAAAAGCATAATGAAGTGATTTATTTATGGAGGAATATATTATATGTTTCAACAGAACATTGGTTTGTCATATTCAGGTATGATTCCCGAAGAAGACAGGTCAACGTTCTGTTCAAACATGGTATGTGCTCTCTAAAATACATCTCTTCATTATACTTATGAATCATTGTTTGCCAACTTTTTATTATATAAACATAATGTGCTTCCATGCTATAGAGGTGCTTAAAGTATTGTAATGCTTTTTCAAATTATATTTTAAAATAAGATTTTATTGGTACTAAGATTGTAGTTTGTTTAAAAAGTATCTAGGCTACTAGAATGGTACTATTGTTGAGACTTGCATTAATTAGCATGATACTATCAAGTGTCGAGACTTGCATTAGAATGGTAATATCGAGTGTCGATATTTGTGTTAGAATGATACTATTAAGTGTCAAGGCTTGTGTTAGAATGGTGTTACTGTATTTTGAGGAATATGTTAGTTAGAATGATACTATTGTATGTCGAGACTTGCATTAATGCTTAATTTTACAGTATACCATTCCAGTGGAATAATTTAAAAATTCTAATTCATTTAAGTTTTTTTTAAAATGATTTTTATCTGATGTAGGATAAGAACAGTAATTTATATATAAGTCTATGCACACACACACACACACACACACACACACACTACTATTTTTAATGCTGAATAAGGAAAACAAATTATATACACTATGTATAGGTGTAATATAGTGTTTAGTGTTGAATAATAACTGTAATTCACATATTTATGTACCCATATACTGTGTTTAATTTTTGAAGAAAAGTTAACTTGCATACATTATGTACAGACAGTATGTATAATAAATTGGAGAGAAAGCAATTTTAGAGTGTGTCTAAAATTAGCAATGATCATTTTTTTCTTTTTATATTTTTCTGTCTGTTTTTCTCCTATTATAGGATCTGATATAATTGTGATGCAAAGTGTAAATCTTGAGATATTTTAACACTGTAGTTGATGTCTACAATAAGTTGTTTCAATGTTATAATTAATAATGATCAAACTGTGAAGGTGTTATTTCTGCTTTCATTCTTCTCCAGGTGGAACTTCGTGAGTTTGTAAAAGTTGGAAGAAAGATATGGGAGGTAAACCCGAGGGCAAAGAGCATAACAGAAACTTTGAAGCTTTCACGTTTTTTTAATTTCAAGGTATGAAACCTTATGTATCTAACTAAGTTACTTGGGTTTGTAGTTTTATGATATTATAAGAATATGTAGCTTCTTTAAGTTTGTAATTCTAAGATATTATAAGAATATGTAGCTTCTTCAAGTTTGTAATTTTAAGATGTAAAGAGTATTTAACTTCTTTAAGTTTATAATTCTTAAAATACCATAAGAATATATATAATATGTAGCTTCTTCAAGTTTGTAATTTAAAGATATAAGAATGTGCAGCTTCTTTAAGTTTGTAATTTAAAGATATAAGAATGTGCATTTTTTAAGTTTGTTATTTAAAGATATAAGAATGTGTAGTTTCTTTATTTTAAAACATTGGCAGAATATGTAGCTTCTTTGAGTTTGTAATTTTCAGATATAAATAAAAATATGTATCTTCTTTCAATTTGTAATTCTCACATATTATAAGAATATGTAGTTTCTCTAAGTTTGTAATTTTAGGGTATTATAAGCATAAGTATCTGATTATTTCAGTCTGTAGTTCTAAGATATTATAAACAATAATATCTGACAATTATTTCAGTTTGTTGTTCTAAGATATATACAATAAGATTTGACAATAATTTCAGTCTGTAGTTCTAAGATATTATAAACAATAATATCTGACAATAATTTCAGTTTGTAGTTCTAAGATATTATAAACAATAAGATTTGACAATTATTTCAGTCTGTTGTTCTAAGATATTATAAACAATAAGATCTGACAATTATTTCAGTCTGTTGTTCTAAGATATAAGCATAAGTATCAAACTAGATTATTTCAGTCTGTTGTTCTAAGATATTATAAGTATCTGATTAACGGCCTTTCTTACCCCCTTTGTTTAGGGTGCTGAACTTGCAATCTGTGGGTCCCAGGATCAAAACCTGATGCTGAACATGCTTGCCTTTTTAACTGCGGTGTATTATAATGTGACACTTAATCCCTCTATTCATTGGTAAAGTGTAACCCATGAGCTGGAACCGAGTGAGGTTGACTAGCTGCCTTCTCTTTAGTCTATCACTTCAAAATTTGGGCTGACTAGTGCAGATAGCCCTCAAGTAACTTTATGCAAAATTCATAAAAGCAAACAAAGAGAAGAACTTTCTGAATAGATTCTTTCAGTTTTTGATTCTAAAATGTTATAGTATTGTGTACCTTCTTTTAATTCATAATTTTAAGATAGTATAAGAATATGTAGTTTTGATTCAAAATAATTTAGGAATATGTAGCTTAATTTAATTCGTACTTTTAAAACCCTATAATAATGTGTAGTTTTTATTCAAAATATTACAGGAATGTGTAGCTTCTTTTGGTTGGTAATTTTAAAGTATTATTAGCAAATGTATCTGACTAGATTCTTTCAGTTTGTGATTGTAAGATATTAGTAGTTAGAGTCTAGAACTTGTTTATTGAGGTTTCATTACCTTTTACAAACTCAGAAATTAAAAAATTTTAACTTACCATGAGAACAACTTACTGCTAACATGGATTAAAGTTTGTTATACAGCCTTTCCTAGGGAAGGATACTGGAATGGTGAGAATATTAAATGATAGGGTGTGATAACTCAAAGATAAACCACAAAAATTAGAAGTTTGTGGATCTAATATGTCAAAGTAGATTTGTAGCACTATGTTGAAATTTGAAGCAAAAAAATGAAAGTTAGCTTACACAATTATCAGAAGGAGTGGAAAAAACATTAAATTAAAAACAAAACTTCAATGGCAAGTCTTGGCTCCTTAAGGATAGAAATAGGTCTACTCATCTCAAATGTCACAGTGAATGTTTAAAAACTACCAAAACTGCAAATTCAAAACACATACTTCCTGTATCTGACCAATCAGAAAACAGTTGCCAAAATGTGGAAGTATCTCTGTTATATGGACAGACACAAAGGTATCTCCATATGCAGAGTCAAGCAGGACACAATGCAACTATCATTACTTCCTGTATCTGACCAATCAGAAAACAGTTGCCAAAATGTGGAAGTATCTCTGTTATATGGACAGACACAAAGGTACCTCCATATGCAGAGTCAAGCAGGACACAATGCAACTATCCTATTACTTCCTGTATCTGACCAATCAGAAAAAAGTTGCCAAAATGTGAAAGTATCTCTGTTATATGGACAGACACAAAGGTACCTCCATATGCAGAGTCAAGCAGGACACAATGCAACTATCCTATTACTTCCTGTATCTGACCAATCAGAAAACAGTTACCAAAATGTGGAAGTATCTCTGTTATATGGACAGACACAAAGGTACCTCCAGTTAAGCAGGAAACAATGCAATTATCCTATTACTTCCTGTATCTGACCAATCAGAAAACAGTTGCCAAAATGTGGAAGTATCTCTGTTATATGGACAGACACAAAGGTACCTGCATATGCAGAGTTAAGCAGGACACAATGCAACTATCCTATTACTTCCTGTATCTGACCAATCAGAAAACAGTTGCCAAAATGTGGAAGTATCTCTGTTATATGGACAGACACATATGCAGAGTCAAGCAGGACACAATGTTCCTGTTCAGGCTATAAAAGGTAATATGTCAAGCTGAAGTTTGCACACAATCTGAGCTATATTTCATCTGTTCCAAAATTAGAATTTTATAGAAATTTAATATGTTTGTAGATAAGGAGTATGTACTGTAGGACAGTAAGATATGTAGTATTTGCATGTGACAGTGGAGCTTGTGTTTGAAAACTTGACTTAAAACCTTGATTATCCAAATGAGCTAATTACTCTTCACAATTTTCTGGTTACAGTTGTGATCTATTGTTATAAATTCATTTATAATATATGTTGAAGGGTGGGCACACACGAAAAATTTAAATACACAAACTACTTGTCCTAAAACCAACACTGTATTTGGTTAGTGTAGGACATGACTCATCTGAACCAAGCATTTTTGGGGTGCAGTTTCTGGTCTATTGGTTTTTTCAGTCTCATGAGATTAACGTGTGTTAAAACTTTTTTTGGTATACACAGATGCATAATGTCACACCAATTCTTGCATTGTCCTACACCTACTTTCTTGGATACTTTGACTAGTTAACTGGTTTTCCACTCAGGTGAAACCTGCCATTTTTCCCAGCTTTTCTGTAAAGCATTTTCACAGTGGTGTCAAGATCAGTCTTCAATACTTCTGGGGCTATGCCATCAGGTCCAGCAGGTTTTCCACTTTTTTACTTTTGTTTGTGGATTGGTGACAACATTCATTATGGATGTTGGACTTTTCAATTGTCAGTGGTTGGTTGAATGGCATCTGGAGAAAGTTTGCCTGTCTTAACCTCTGCACTGCCTCTATTGTGATTATATTTCCTGTTTGGTCCTTTGTTGGCTTTGTGAGTCTCACTTTTGCTTAACAGAGTTCTGGTGATTCAGTAAAGTGTCCTCATGTCTCTCTTGTCTTGCAGCTACTTCTGGATTTGTTGCAAGATTGTTAAAGAATTCTCTCTTGTCTTTTCTGGCACTTCTTTTTGCCTCTTATTACAAAAAGTAGTACCTAGTTTGAAGCTCCCTCATCACTGTGATATTGTTACAGCAGTTGATTTCTTGCTTTAGTTGTCATCTACTAATGTCTTATGAACAGCAAGTCTATTTTGTAAGGATATGACAAATGTTTCTCTCACTGCCTGAGGTTTCAGTCACTGGATGTTAAACTTGTGGTGAATTCTGTCAAATGTGTGTCTAAAAACTTTCAGTTTGATTCTCAGAGTTCCAAGTGAGATGGTGGTCAGACACAACATCGGCACTTCTCTTCACGAGGACGTCTATTAGGCTTCATCTCCATTTTCTTCTAGTGGTGATGTGGTTGATCTGGTTTTTTGTCCTTCCATCTGGTGAAACCCATGTTGTCTTGAGAATGTCCTTGTCTTTGAAGGAGAAGTCGACTGTGAAGAGTTGCCTATTTTCATTTATGTCTCCAAGGCAGTGGATGCCCATGATATGTTCTTGTCTGGTGTTATCTGGACCCATCTTGGCATTCATGTTTTCCATAAGAATTTTGATGACAGTTGGCAGTGTTTTCTAAAACTCTGAAGACTTTCATAAAATCCCTGCTTGGCCTCATCTTTTGCATTATTTATTGGTATTTAATACTGGATAATGGTAATTTTTCTGCTCTTGGAGTTGAACCTTGTGGTGATGATCAATGAGGATAACAGGTTTCAATTCCTTCAAGGCTTTTACAACAGTAGCTGATGTCATAATTGCACTCCCCCTGTGTGGTCATCATCCTCATCTTTGTGGCTTGAGTGTATGATCTGTTCTCCACTTGCGAATATAGATTACCCATCTGCTGTCACAAATGCCCCACAGCTGGATGTTGAATCTCCTCATCTCCTAGAAAACTTTGGCTGCCTTCCCTGTCTCATACATAGTACAAACATTTCAGATTCTAATTCTGGTTGGTGCTTTCATTATGAGAAAATTAGTTGACAAATTGGCTTCCAGATGGCTTTCACTATAAAGGCATCATCCTCAATCAAGCGATTGTAATGTGTTGCTGAAGCTTCTGTAGTAGGAGATGTTTTTTTAAGAAATGAGGTTGTTAATCTCGTATCCAAACCCCAACATGGAGGACCAGGGTACTGCACTTCATCAGGTCTTTACCCTTCAATCTTTCTGGATTATGAGACCCTGCTAGGAGTATTGAGGTCACCTTCTTTATGGGAGTTAAAAAAAAAATTATGCATGGAAAATAATTTACAAAGTGGGCTCTAATTCCATAACCCAAACTATAGGGAGTGGGTTTTAATTCTGTACAACTCAAAATATAGGAAATGGGATGTAAATATATAATCTAAACTATAGGAAGTGGGCTGTGAATCTGTATAATTCAAACTATAGGAAGTGGGTTGTAAATTCATAACAAACATTGGGAAGTAGGCTGTAAATTCATAACCAACACTATTGGAAGTGGGATGTAAACCTGTATAACCCAAACTATAGGAAGTGGGCTCTAAATCTGTAACCCAATGTATAGGATGTGTATTGTAAGTCTATATAACCCAAATTATAAGAATTGGGCTTTAAGTCTGTAAACCACTATTCGATCAATGCTCTCATTTTATGATCACATAAAAGAACCCAAAGGACCTTTTGATGTAGCTGGAAATTTATGTTCTGATAATGTTAGCAAGACAATAAGGATTTTAAGTTCATGAGGGCTCACAAGTAAAAACTTCACAAGCTTTCAACCATTCTTCAAAATCAATGGCTGTTTTCATGAGAATGATGGTCTAAAAAACTAGAATAACAGCAAGTCCATCTAATCACATATTTGTCAAATTCTCTGATGCAGCTCTAATGGACTGGTGTGCCTTTAGTCTGTTGCCTTGTGGTTTTGGAAACTAAAATCCACCAACAGTGAAGGATCTGATTATTGGTCTTATTGAAACAGTGGTGCCTACATGATTATTGGTCTTATTGAAACAGTAGTGTCTACATGATTATTGGTCTTATTGAAACAGTAGTGCCTACATGATTATTGGTTTTTATTGAAACAGTGGTGCCTACATGATTATTGGTCTTATTGAAACAGTGGTACCTACATGATTATTGGTCTTATTGAAACAGTGGTGCCTACAGCTCTCTGTATATGAGAAATAAGTGGATTTGTGGAAAGAAATGGTGATATAAAGATTTAACTAGATGATCGTTAGTTTTGTTTTTCTATAGTTTGACCACACATATATACATAGAATTGTTGTTGTAGAGGGATACAGTTCTTCTGTATTTTCTAAAATGATATGTAATAATTTGTTATCATATTTGGGCCCAGTAAACTTATTCTTCTTTTATGACATTTAGATGAGTTACACAAGATCTTGGGTAATCTTCTTGTTATGAAGACACATTAGTGGCTAAAATGATATGTAATAATTTGTTATCATATTTGGGCCCAGTAAACTTATTCCTCTTTTATGACATTTAGATGAGTTACACAAGATCTTGGGAAATCTTCTCGTTACGAAGGCACATTAGTGGCTAAAATGATATGTAATAATTTGTTATCATATTTGGGCTCAGTAAACTTATTCCTCGTTTATGACATTTAGATGAGTTACACAAGATCTTGGGAAATCTTCTCGTTACGAAGGCACATTAGTGGGTATGTGAGGACAAGACTTTTCTCCTAGGCTTTAGTGGGTATTTGAATATTTTCTGTTGGTTTGTAGTTTTAGGTTACTTAAAGCTTATGATCTTGGGTAATCTTCTCGTTAGGAAGGCACATTAGTGGGTATTTGAGGACAAGACTTTTCTCCTAGGCTTTAGTGGGTATTTGAATATTTTCTGTTGGTTTGTAGTTTTAGGTTACTTAAAGCTTATGTTGCAGATGGTTATTATTATTACCAACTTGTGTTTATTCTGTTAACTACCAGTAGGGTCCACACACACATCATTTTAAGTAATTTTATGTTTTTGCATGTTACAATACTTATAGTAAAGAAGTGAGAAACACTTATTTTTCATATAAAATACATAGAGGACCCTAGCAGTGATCCCTGGGATTTATTGTGATATTGATGTATTTTTTGTGCTGTTTGTATTGTTAGGGATCCTAATAAGTAGGCAGACAATGATTTATAAGCATAAGAAAAAGTTTTAGTGATGGTGGAACATGTTTCGACAGAACATTGCTCAGTTTTCTTCAGGTATGATCAGTACTAAGCAATTCAAGATTTATGTATTGTTACAAAGACAATAGGGATTAAATATGATGGAAATGGTGACAGAATATAGGTCAAGTCTGGTCAAATGTATGAATGCTGGATATACTGCCAAATACGGCTGATGTTGCTTAAGCCATTATCACGGTTTAGTGAGAGGTCATTTGCTTTGATGATTTCTATCATTTCTAAACAGTCTCTCTTTTTAGTTTTCAGTTGGTGTAGGAGAAGAATTCTGTCCCAAACTATTTTGTCACCTGTCTCATATTGATGATATGTTGAGGTGGATAAATGGAAATCACCTCTACACATGTGACCTCGTGTCTTGTTTCTAAGGAACGTGACATTTGTCCCATGTATTTCTTTCCACATTTACATGGGATACTTTAGATGCCCTGTTTTTGTTATTTTAATAGGAATTCTTTTGGGTTAAGCAGTAAGATGTTAATTTTATGTGAAGGTTTAAACACAGTTTTTACATCAATGCTCAAATTATTAAAAAGTCTAGTAATTTCATTAGCAATTCCTGGCATAAAAGAGAATGAAACAAATTTGTTGCGTTTTGTGTTGTTGATAGGTGAACTGTTTTGAAGTTTGATACAAGCCCTATCTATGATATTGGGGCCAAAACCTCCATATAGTTCTATAGGTAGTTTAATTCAGTAAGTGAGTGTTCTTTGATGGTGCAAATTTTTATAGCACAATTTACGTAGGTGAAGTAGGAGGATATTTTCTGTGATTAGATCTTATGTGTGGTGATGATGGGGTTTCTTGTATATACTGGTGGTAACTTTGTTATTTTATCTTTTTACATTCACATCTAAAAAGGGAAGTCAACTGTTGGATTCTATTTCATGTGTGAAAATTATGACATTGGGTCTTAATGTGTTAAAAAGTTCCATGAAACTGAGTAGTGTTTCTTTCCCATGTTGCCATATAATCACGTATTGGAGCAGTTCTAATCAATTTATTTTATTAAATACATGCCTTTTATGGTGAGTTTTTCATTTAGGTGATAATAAAATACAAAATGCTTTCCATTCATTACTGTGGGTTATGGAGAAGATTGATGAAATAAAAACAGCAGATAGTGAACATTCACTCGGTGTACACTATCTGCTGTATTCCATACAAATCATGTTGATGTAGCTTATTGTATACAATTATTATGATACAGCTATACACCGAGTGAATGTTTAGCTGTATCATAATAATTTTGTACCAAATGGTATGTTGCATAAAATGGCATCAAATAAAATTGTGTGTAATTGAACAGATTGAAACCATAAAGTTTGGCTGATCACAACTTCATTTGTGTTATATGTGGTTGCACTACTATTTGGTTAAGAAGATATTGTAATTAAACTATTTTACATATCATAAAATGAATAAAGCCAGGTGTGTTTATTGTACTTTTTTATAGATTATTTCAAAAACACAAGAATACTTTATTGCACAAATAGTTCCAAAATTGGAACTGTTCATGGGATATGCTACTTTTGACTAATGAACTCAATGAATTGGCTACTGCTAATTTTCAGCCAAATCTAAACCCCATGCTTCTAGATGTTCCCAAGTTTATGATTTACCAAATTATCCTACTTTTTCTAAAATAAAATGTAATTTTTTGCAGGTTTCTAAGTTATCAGAATATGTTATTTTGTACTTTTACTCCTGAAATTAATTTTTTTTTGCTCTCAAAATTTTAAGTTTCTTGCAAATTCATGTTTTCTCACTATGTCTTTACAGTGTACTCCAGAAATGAGACGTCAAGATCCAGAGGGATTGGTGGGTCTAGTCCTTGAAGTGGTGCCTTCAAATTCCTGTTTGATCTTTTGTCCAACCAAAAAACACTGTGAAAATATTGCTCTATTATTGGCTAAGCTTCTGCCCAAGTATGTTACTGAGGAACTTTTATCGTTCGTTTTAGTGTACTATTATGCAAACACTCGTATGTTTCTTAGCACGAAAACAACAGCTTGAAGCAAAAATAATTTTTTAAAAATAATAACATGTCTGAATAAACTAATTTACTGAGAGAAAGTAATAACTTGTCTTCAGTTAAATATTTTATGAATGATGTGTATAATGCTTCAAATGTTTCTCACACAAGATCAGTGTAATTAACTATAAAAAAAAACTGGTGTTAGGTTGAAATTGCTGGACTTATTGAAGGTTTTATCTTGGTGTAATGAATAGCTACAAGTGAATAATTCTGTACCTATTTATACGAATGATACCTCTAAGAACACGTACAAGTTCAACAGACTGTTCTCAACTTGTATTAATCTTTTCCAGCCATGCAAATGATATCATTGTCTGATCATCACCTACAAAATAAAACTATAACTGAAATGTTTAGATGTAGAATGTTGTTTTGAATAAAGTAATAAAATCCAAACTTAATTTAGATATTTCCTCCCTTCCCCAATTTTGAGAATGTGCATCTGACTAGATTATTTCAGTTTCCATCTGTTGTTTTCTGACAGAGTGGTTCATTCAGTTATTTTAATCCAATACTAGGACTATGCCACTTTCAAAAACAGTTTTTGTGTTTTTATGGCTGGGTAGTTCGTCCAGCTATTTAACTTAGTACTAAGGCTGCACCAGATTGGAAAGCAGAGTTTTCACCTTCTGTTTTTCTGGCTGGGCAGTTCTTCCAGGTATTTTGCTTCTTCTTTACTAGCTTCTGGAATGAAATAATGTGACTACCAGAGTTTTTGACTAATCCGTACATATTTATGTACCCTATTAGTAATAATGTATATCATTTAATTTCCAAGCAACTAAATGTTCTTTAAAAGTTATAGCACTTATTTAACATTTGTTTGAAGGTTAATGATATGGCACTAAGATGTTTCACACTAATTTATAAAATGTATTTTTAGTTTAGGACATATTGATATTAATTTAGAATATGTATGCTTAGTTTAGGACATATTCATGTTAATTTAGAATATGTATGTTTAGTTTAGGACATATTCATGTTAATTTAGAAGATGCATGTTTAGTTTAGGACATATTCATGTTAATTTAGAAGATGCATGCTTATTTTAGGACATATTCATGTTAATTTAGAAGATGAATGCGCATTGTAGGATGTATTCATGTTAATTTAGAAGATGAATGTGTATTGTAGGATGTATTCATGTTAATTTAGAAGATTTATGCTTGGTATTGGATGTATTTCACAATAATTTAGATGTATGCTTAGTTTATGACATATTTATGTTAATTTAGAAGATGTATGCTTGGTATTGGATGCATTTCACAATAATTTAGATGTATGCTTAGTTTATGACCTATTTATGTTAATTTAGAAGATGTATGCTTAGTTTATGACATATTCATGTTAATTTAGAAGATGTATGCTTAGTTTAGGACATATTCATGTTAATTTAGAAGATGAATGCATATTGTAGGATGTATTCATGTTAATTTAGAAGATGAATGCGTATTGTAGGATGTATTCATGTTAATTTAGAAGATGAATGCGTATTGTAGGATGTATTCATGTTAATTTAGAAGATGTATGTGTATTGTAGGATGTATTCATGTTAATTTAGAAGATGTATGCATATTGTAGGATGTATTCATGTTAATTTAGAAGATGTATGCATATTGTAGGATGTATTCATGTTAATTTAGAAGATGTATGCTTGGTGTTTTACAAGTTTTAAATTAATTAGAAGATAGATGCTTGGTGTAGCATGTGTTTTGTTAGTTTAGAAGATATATGCTTGGTGTAGCATGTGTTTTATGTTAGTTTAGAAGATATATACTTGGTGTAGCATGTGTTTTATGTTAGTTTAGAAGATATATGCTTGGTGTAGCATGTGTTTTATGTTAGTTTAGAAGATAGATGCTTGGTGTAGCATGTGTTTTATGTTAGTTTAGAAGATATATGCTTGGTGTAGCATGTGTTTTATGTTAGTTTAGAAGATAGATGCTTGGTGTAGCATGTGTTTTATGTTAGTTTAGAAGATATATGCTTGGT